ATACCAAGTGCCAATAACCCATGCATGGTGCTATACCAAGTACCAATATCCCATGGTGCCCATACCAAGTACCAATAACCCATGGTGCCCATACCAAGTACCAATAACCCATGGTGCCCATACCAAGTACCAATAATCCATGGTGCCTATACCAAGTACCAATAACCCATGGTACCTATACCAAGTACTAATAACCCATAGTGCCCATACCAAGTGCCAATAATCCATGGTGTCTATGAAAAAAAAGAAAATCGTTCATACCTTTGTGTAACTCACAAGTTAACAACGATGACCCATATAACCCAGGTTTTGTACAATTGACAATAGCATCTATTTCCACTGATTCATCACTTTCTATTGCTTCTATGAATATACATCACAATAGTTGTCATGAGTCAAAACTGCTTATATCACTATTGTTGATAGGAATTCTGAATTTTGAAAGATTTTTATTTTCCATAATTGACGATTTTAAATGTAGTAAAAAAAATCAATGAAATGGTCTTGTATATGGATTGACACGGCTAACAGGAAAAAAATTGGAAAATTTAACAGCACTGCAAATTCTTTCTATTTTGCTGGGTGAAAATTGTCTTCAACCCTTATCCTGCCAGCCCCATGTACTTTTACATTCACATGATCAGATACAAGCTATTAAAAATGAATGACAAAAAATAAAATTTTGCTTCTATAGAACTTTCATGTTTTTTTCTTTCGATTTCCAAATAGCTTGCCACGAGGAATAAGTAACTCAGCAAAGTGTCAAAAGTGTGTTTGTTGTATTCTTCCTCTACTATTAAAAACACATACTGCATATAAAATTCTATAAAACGGAAAAATACAAATGTACATGTATTTATAGCAACCAGGGGAATACATGAGCTCTTCCACTTGTAGTGAAAAATAATCAGTGCTCTTTCTTTCTGATTTTACTTACAGTCAGAATAGCAATTCTTTATAATTAAACTGATTGTAAGCTGAAAGTGACATGCATAAATATTTTTTCAAAAATGCAGTGTTAAAAGGCAGAAAAGTGCTCTACAAGATGTGCTCAGAATTGTATATTAATTTTTCTAAATTTATCTATTTTTGTGTACACATAGCTGACAGCTCTTCTGTAAGCACTAATAGCTGTACCTTTTAGAGTCAATATTGTGTTAGTTGGTGCATACACGTATGAGATTACCACAAAAGTTTAGTCTACATCTTGACCATCCATCAATTCAAAATGGCCGCCAGAGTAAAGGTATTTTAACCTTTTCAACACCAGTTCCCTCTTTTCATCACAAATTTACAAAATAGTCTGCACTTTCCTTCAGAAGATTTAGACGAAAATTGTACAAATTTTTGAGTAAAAACTGAAAATTGACTCAAATTATGTCTGTTAGCTCCCAAGAAAGAAAAGAGAAAAGTGCAGAAAAATTTGGGCAAGAAAGTCTGGTGGGGAAAATGTTAATACACAGGTTAAGTACACAAAATTAAAATTTTGATATTTTTTAAAAATTCAAGATGGTCGCTTGTTCACTTACAAATGTATACTCATCAACCAGCTTGATTTACCTGCAGTGTTACAATTTATTTAACCTCTTGTTATATATTCTCAACAGCTGCAAGTAGATAAAACAAGGGTAATTACATGACTTGTTGAATCTGATATACATGTATTTCCAAAAACTGCAGCAGATGGCGTGCAAGTCTCAGACTTTCTGTTAAATATTACCATTTTTTTTTTTATTTATATGCATGGAGCATATGGACCTAGTGATTAAATATACATGATGTAGATTGGAGGAGACTCCCAGAGACTACATAATGGTGGACAGTGGAAGAGTAATTTGTATTCTCTGTAACAAAAACGCCTCAATCATTAATAACTTACTGTATATTACATCATCCCAGTGTCCAAACTGCTCACCAAATTCCAGTCATGCAGGATTCCTGTCTCCACTTTATCACTGCAGTCTTTACCTTGCCCTTGATAAAGATGAAAGTTATATCTGCCCTCCTCGCTATATTTCATTCCTGTTTTAAAC